AAGAACAGCAGCTACTAAGCCAAAAGTTGCTGGCAAGTACAGCTTGGCATGACTGGGCCTTCATGGGCAGCTTCCAGCTTTCAACCGTGGAGCATGGCCTTTTTTTCCTTTTTGTGGTGCCAAAAAAAAAATTCCCCAATTTTTCAACTTTCTGGAATATTTCCAAAAAGGCTAAACCTCATATGATATCATATGAGCTCATATGAGGTAAGGCATCCTCATGTGAGACATTTTTTCCTCATATGAGGCTATTTTTCTCTCATATGAGGCATGGCTGCCTCATATGAGATCATATGAGATCATATGAGGTTAAGCAGTGTTTTGAAAATTGCAGGGTGCCACCATTTTTCCCCTTGAATTTCAGGGTGCATCATGTTTTTCCTTGGGCTATGTTGTTTGCCCTTGTGGCAGTCCAGCCTTGTCTTAAGGCTTCTGTACATTTTTTGGAGCTCCTTTTGCAGGGCCCATATTTTGGAGAAGGAAATTGGAAGCCCTTTTGCAGGACCTATCCTTTCAGAGCTCTTTTGCAAAGCCCTTGGTTTCAGATTTGTAAGCCCTTTTGCAAGGCCTTCTTTCCATCCTCAGATGCTTTGGGCTCACTTCTTCTTGCCCCTGCGCTTTTTCCTTTGTGCAATGTGCCACCCAACATCATCTCCACCAGAGCTGGTGGCTCCTTCCCAATTTTTGGGAGGCTGTGCCCTGGACTTTGCCCTCAGGTAGTTGCCCTCCTCAGCATTGTCATCCCTGGTCGTTTTTTTGGGATTTTCTCCTGACAGGCAGGGCCAATGCAAAGGTTACTGCAGACCAAGTCCCTAGAAATGTGTGGTTTGGAAAAAATGAGGTGGCACCCCATCAAGGCCCTTACAATTCCTTGTTTTTATTTTTGAAACATAGTCCATCATAGCCCACAACAATTTCATTGACAAGTGCCTGTCACCAGAAGCATTCAAGGTTGACTGGTGGCCCTCTCAAAGAAAATGTTGCCAAATAGATTTTGCAACATGAGTAGTGCATAAAACTTCCAAAATGAAAGCTCCTTTATGGATGGTGGTGTAAACTACTTGTAAGGGTTGGGGTTTGTTTTGGCTCTTGGCTCTCCTCCTCCAGCTGCATTGGTGCCAGCTGCTTTGCTTCCAGCCACCTTGGGGTCCAGGAAGTCACTGTGCGCTCTGGGCTGTGGGCTGTGGCTGCTGTCCACATGGGGGTGTACTGCATATAGGCCCCATGGGCTGTGGGTTGGCAGGGACTCTGCCAGGTGCTGGCCTGGGCATTGCTGGCCTGAGCAGTAGGCTGCCAGGTGCTGGCCTGGGCATTGGGCCAGGTGGTCCCATAGGCCTGCTCCATCTGTCCTGGTCAAACAAGAATCAAGTTCAAACAAGTGCAGACTCTGCCATCCCCAAAAAAGTGGTGCAAACCTGTCCTTGGCCCCAGTAGGCCTGCTGCCACTGCCAGCTCTGCCAGGCCCACAGCTGGGCAGTGTCCTTGGCAGACTGTGCTGCCTGAGCTGCATCCTTTGCTGCCCTCTCTGCAGCTGCCACAGTCTCCTTGTGGGACATTCTGTCCTCCTGCCTGCTGACCAGCCTCTTCATCCTGGAGGCCCCCATAGCACCCAGCTTCACCATCTCTGGGTCTTCTCCTTCTTCCAGTGCCTTGTTCTCAGCCCACCTGAGTTTGGACTTCTGCTTTGAAGACCCAGTTCTGTTTTTCCACCTCGCCTCAGGGCCCCTCAGGACATTTCTCTCCTCCTCTGGCTCTTCCTTCTTGGTTTTTGCAGGCTGCTTCTGATCTTCTCTTGCTTTGGCAGCAGCTGCTTCCTCCTCCTCCTTCTCCCATGTTTTCCAGTCACTCCACTCATCCTCTTTCTCTTGCCACCAGTCATTCCAAGTCTTCCTGGAATCTTTCCAGTCCTTTTCCCACCACTCCTCCTCCATGGGCTCTTCTTTGGCATTCTTCTCCTTTTCCTTCTCCACTTGCTTCTTCTCCCTGCTGGGGTCCACCATGTCTGCCCAAAGGGGCTTGGGCACTGGAGTTCTGTTTCTCCTGGCCTTGCTCCCATCTGAGGAGCTGGGAGCCTCCATGTTTTGGAGCCCTTTCACAGGTGCCCAGAAGCCCTTTTGCAAGGCCTGCTTGAGATGGATCCCTTGTGCAAGGCCCAGGATAGCTTAGCCTTGCCCCTGCAAAGGGACAAAAACACCAAACACTATTTTGAGCCAAAGCTACAGTGACTACAGCCAGGTCATGGCACAGTGCCACCATGCTGCTGTAACTTGACCCAGCATGCTCCATTGCAGGCTGCATACACTACCAGGCATTTTTCTTCCAAATGTTGAGCTTCATGGTCAAGCCTTTGTCTAAGGCTGTGGCAAAGCCCTTTTGCAGGACCTATAGAGCCCTTTTGCAGGGCTTCATTTTTTACATGGCCTACTTGGCAAACTTTGCAAAGAGCTTCTCTCTTTCTGCCAGCACATCAGCCTTGGTTGCCTTTGGCTTTTTGGCACTTGGAAGCAACAGCTGAACCAGTTGTTGGTGGGTCTTTGTTGTTCTGCTGGCTTGGCTCAAGGTCACAGCAGCTATGAGTCTCTTGTTCTTCCCAGGCCCAGGCTGATGTTGCAAGTAGCTTTGGTTCTTGCCACCACCAGTGCTGATACTGCCTTGGTCAATGAGCACTTTCTCAGTGCCCGAGGTTGGCCCTTTCCCAGGGCCCAAAGGAGGCTTGGCCTTCACTTCCTCAGACTTGGAAGAGCTTGAAGAAGGCTTCTTCATGATGCTCTCAGACTCAGCAGCTGGCCTTTTCATGGCATTTGCCCTCCAGTCCTTCTTCAAACAAGGAGGGGAGCTCTCATCCAGACCTGAAAGCTTGCAGCTGCTGCCACTTCCTGATTGGCTTTCAGATTCCATTTCCTCATCACCTGAGTCTTCTGCTTCACTGGGCACAGGCTGGGCCACCATTTTTGGCCATCCATGGCTGTCCTGGCTGACCTCAGAGTTGTGGAGTTTGAGCTGCCTTTTTTTGGGCTCCTGCTTGCCATCCCAGGTTGTCTTTTTTCTCAGCCTCTCCAGAGCAGCTGCCTCAGACTCATCCAGCTTCCCAACCAACTTGCCCCAAGCAACTTCACTGGATGAGCATCTTCTCCAGTGCTTCAAGAGCACACCCACTGAGTCAGCAGCTCTGCCAGCAAGCATGCTGTCATCCATCTCCCAGTGGGCTTTGAGAAGCTGCACCCCCCAGGTTTGCAGGAGAACAACAAAGGATTGCTTCAATGCCTTGTACTTGATCTTGGCACTGCTGCTCACACCCAGGAGCGCCTCCAGAAGCCTTGCAAGCTGGGCTATGCTTTGAAGGCTCTCTGACTGCTGGGCCTGGAGGTTCTTGTACTGGTACATGTTGAAAGCCTCTTTGATCCCCATAGCTCTGCAGTAGGAATGCATGGCTTTGTCCAAGGCATCTTGGGAAACTTCAGGAAAAGGAATCCTTTTGTGTGGTGCTGAATTGCCACTCCTCTTTTTTTGCACAGCCTTCATGAGAACCATTGCAAGCTGAGCCCTTTTGCAGGACCCAAGGGAGCCCCTTCACAAGGTCCCAAAAAAAAAGCCCCTTCCCAAGGCCAAATACAGGTTTGAAAAATGACTGTGAGCCCATAGGCCTGCATCCATGCTGCAAGTCTGACACATGCTGTGAGGTGGCTGCTGCTGTGTGGCCATGTGTGGAGTCAGCTTCCAACACCTTGCTCCAACATTTTTCCCTGGAAGCTTTTTGAATGCTTCAGGGAGCCCTTTTTCAAGACCCATGCTTCATGTGGAGCCCTTTTGCAAGGCCCAGGGTGGCCCTTTTGCAGGGCCATGCAGGTGGCTGGCTCAGAACTCAGGTCTTCTCCGAATGGGGTCCCAGTAGTGCCAGCCACCATTTTCACAGTAGTTTTGCCTCCATGACTTGTCACAAATGTAGCAATTCAAGGTCCAGTCTTCTGCAGTGCTCAGCTTCCTCCTCCAGATCCATCCCCTGTGGCAGTTGTTGCGCTGGATGTAGCACCGGTATTGGAGCAATCCTGGTCTGTTGATGTTGCGGATCCTGTCCTGCTCCAAACCATCCAGGACATCCAGCTCTGCCATTCTGAGCCCTTTTGCAGGACCCCAGCCCTTTCACAGGACCCAATTGAAGATGCAGGGCTGCAGGAAGTTCAAGGGGCGCAGGAAGCTCCAGGGTTCATGGGCAGTGTCATGCACATGGGAACAGCTGCTATGTGTGTTTACACATGTGGAAAAAGAAAGTTCAGGAGTCTTTGTTTTTTTTGGTTTTGGAAACATGTAAAAATTGATGTTTTTGTCTTGAAAACCAAGAAATCCTGTTGAAAATTTCAACAGACCTGTGTTGAAAAATACAACAGATTTTAAGCTGTCAAACCAACAGCTCCTGTTGGTTTATTTCAATAAAACTTGCATTTCAACAGTGAACCTCTAAACCAATAAACCTGTTGAATCTTTTCAATAAGGCGCACTCTGGGTAATCTACTGGTAATACGACTCATATGTATGTAAAATATCGTTATTTGTGGAGCCCTGTTGAGTGAAAGCCAAGGATTCTGTGGACTGTGGACGTCGCGGGCATGATCTACTTGATCTCCCCCCTGCCTGGGACGTGCCGAGATCCAGTTGGAGAAGACGCTTCCGAGCTTTGCAAGTGTGCAGAACCAGTGGTCCTGTGCAGAGAGGACCAAGTTCACTTTCCAAAATGGTTCCTGGATCACCTTTATTTCTGGAAAATGTCCCCAGTTTTGGATGAAATCCTGAGACATCCTGACATTTTGTGACTTGATTACTTCGTGTAAAAAGAACCATCCATGTTCCGGTGGGTTGTTCGCGCGTGCTCGCAAGGAAACTGTTCATCAGACTTTCAGCCTGTCATTCTCATGTTGGACTTTTCCAAATTTCTTTGGATCCCAGCCCAGCCCAATTGCCCCATGCATCCCCATGCGGTTTTCAAGATAAAAAGGCATGGCATAATTCTGGGCCAGCGACCATCTATGTAATTTTCTTTGCATTGCCAAAGGGTCAATGTGCGATGTGGAGGGCGCCATAGAATCAAAAGGGTAGAATCAAGAGCGTCTTACAGGTCTACAAGTGATTTAATCAGCAAGCAAGTCAAAAGAACGTTATTAGCAGCCCCCCCGCCCGAACCCCCATCCCCCTAGCCCGAACCCCCCACCCCAACAAAACACTGCCTGGAGTTTGAAGTCCCAAACGATGACGGAAGAAATTACAGGGTTGCTCCAGCTCATTATACGTATACTGATAGCCACTTTTGGGGTTCAATTGGTCATTTTATCTCGATACAATTACCCAATTTACACCCCAAACGTACCTGCAGTTATAGCCCTTAACCATCCTTAACCGTTAACATAGACCCGGGCAAGCCGGCGGCGGAAGTTTCCCAAAAATAAATGACCTATAGTTCGAAGAAAAACCTGTCCCGACCGTGTCCTTCCCTCGACAAGCGGTTTTTTTCAGCGAGAGACGAAGCAAAGTCTTCACACTCCACACTCCACACTTCACACTGCACTCTTCGCACTCCAAACTTCAAACTTCAAACTTCACACTCCACACTTCACACTTCACACTTCTCACTTCTCACTGCTTCCTTCACACTCCAAACCTCACACTTCACACTTCACACTTCACACTTCACACTGCGCGCTTCGCACTCCAAACTTAAACTTCACACTCCACACTTCACACTTCACACTCCACACTTCACACTTCTCACTTCCCACTGCTTCCTTCACACTTCACACTTCACACTGCACTCTTCACGCCCCACACTTCACACTGCTCTAAACGTACGTCCAACCAAAAAAACACTAGTGCCAAAATGGAGAAAATCTGCTAACAAACCCATTTCGCAGCCTTCATGCAGCCACTCCAAGACGATTTCCGAGATCCAGCTGCAAAAGACAATAGTATTACGAATGCAGCCACAGCACGAAGCAACCTTGACGCAGCCATTACAATGCGATCTGCAGAGACTGAGTTGCAAAACACAATAGAACTCCGCGCAACGGCGTCGGAAATTGTAGCTCCAAAACCGGATCTCGACGCCAGAGCGAAAAAAAGACGATTTTGAAGCACTTTTTAAAGGGATTTTTAGAAGGAAAATCACTAGCGCCAAAATGGAGAAAATCTGCTAACAAATCCATGTCGCAGCCTTCATGCAGCCACTCCAATACGATTTACGAGATCCAGCTGCAAAAGACAATAGTATTACGAATGCAGCCACAGCACGAAGCAACCTTGACGCAGCCATTACAATGCGATCTGCAGAGATTGAATTGCAAAACACAATAGAACTACGCGCAACGGCGTCGGAAATTGTAGCTCCAAAACCGGATCTCGATGCCAGAGCGAAAAAAAGACGATTTTGAAGCACTTTTTAAAAGGATTTTTAGAAGGAAAATCACTAGCGCCAAAGTGGAGAAAATCTGCTGACAAATAACTGTGGCAGCCTTCATGCAGCCACTCCAGTACGATTTACGAGATCCAGCTGCAAAAGACAATAGTATTACCAATGCAGCCACAGCACGAAGCAACCTTGACGCTGCCATTTACACTGCGGTAACGATCCTACAGTTGCAAAGCACAATGGAATTCCATCGGCAACTCATCCACCAGCAACACTTGCAATCCCATTTACATTGCGGGAACGATCCTAGAGTTGCAAATCACAATGGAATTCCATCGGCAACTCATCCACCAGCACCACTTGCAATCCCATTTACATTGCGGGAACGATCCTACATTTGCAAATCACAATGGAATTCTGTCGACCGCACATGCACGAAAAACACTTGAAACCCCATGTACAATGCGGAACCGATCCGACCATGATCCGAGAATGATCCGAGAATGATCCGACCACACACGAGACCGTCTCGCAACCGTCGCACCGCAGAGGTAGATCATCGAGGTTCGGAGACGGACTTTGTATGGAAAAACATAGGGTTTCGTGCATCTGCTATCTCTCAAAAACGCATTTCGTGCGAGACTTCCTTCAAAACTCCATCGGCAACTCCTCCACCAGCACCACTTGCAATCCCATTTACAGTGAGGGAACAATTTCTTTGACTAACTCGTTCCCTAACGAACTCTTTCTTTGCTAACTCTTTCTTTGCTCTTTCTTTGACTAACTCTTTCTTTGCTAACTCTTTCTTTGACTACCTCATATCCTGACTAACTCTTTCTTTGACTAACTCTTTCCCTCACTAACTCTTTCTTTGACTAACTCTTTCCCTGACTAACTGTTCCTTTGACTAACTCTTTCTTTGACTAACTCTTTCCCTGACTAACTCTTTCTTTGCTAACTCTTTCTTTGACTACCTCATATCCTGACTAACTCTTTCTTTGACTAACTCTTTCCCTCACTAACTCTTTCTTTGACTAACTCTTTCCCTGACTAACTGTTCCTTTGACTAACTCTTTCTTTGACTAACTCTTTCCCTGACGAACTCTTTCTTTGCTAACTCTTTCTGTGACTAACTCTTCCCTCACTAACTCTTTCTTTGACTAACTCTTTCCCTGACTAACTGTTTCTTTGCTAACTCTTTCCCTGACTAACTGTTTCTTTGACTAACTCTTTCTTTGACTAACTCTTTCCCTGACGAACTCTTTCTTTGCTAACTCTTTCTTTGACTAACTCTTTCCCTGACATTCTAAAAGTCCGTAACACGGAAGTTTCTCCCCCTAAACTTCCTTTGATAAAGGTGGTTTATAGTTCTTATAATGATGTATAATCTTGAGTTAGAAGAGTTATTTCATCCCATTTACCAACTGTTTTGTTGGGCCATAACGGTGGGGGTCGGAAAAGAAAGACGTTGCTTACTCGCCACCAGGAGGCTGGTGGTAGCTGCGCAATCTGCTTGGAAGATTTCGCTGAAGGCGATGAGGCTCAGCGCTTGCCCTGCGGCCACATTTTTCACAACCCATGCATCAAGGAGTGGCTTCTGCGAAGTAGAGACCTGGCATGGGCATGGCGGGCTTGGTAAATTGCTGGTTTTTTTGGATGGGATTGAATGAGCAATTTAGTTTGGGATATATATAAATATATGTTATGGATATATGATCGACTAAGCAACAATATAACCAAAATATATCAAAGTGGTTTAATTCTATGGAATTGAATGAGTGTTTTTTTGGGAGATCT